TGCAGCCATGGAGGCTGATGCTGCCAGCGCCCAAAGTGCGGAGACAATGGCACAAGCTAATCAGCAGGGCCTCAGTCTTGCTGAAGTTGAGTTGGAGAATGTTGTCCCTCGTCCAGGACTTGATGTCGGAGAGGCAGTCGGTCAGGACACCAGTAGTCCTGGAGTTGAGGGTGGAGGCAAAGAGATAGAGTTGGTTGTCATCCGCATACATGTGGAAGTTAACTCCATGTCTGCGGATGATGTCACCGAGGGGGAGCATGTAGAGGGTGAAGAGGCGGGGACCGAGGACAGAGCCCTGAGGGACACCACATGAGACAGTCCGGGGGGTGGAGGAGAAGCCATTTGTTGAGACAAAGTGAAGATGGTGAGAAAGGTACGACCTAAACCATTCAAGGACAGTGCCTTGAAGGTTGAGGTGGGAGGACAAGCGGTGGAGTAGGATAGCGTGGTCGACCGTATCGAATGCTGCCGATAGGTCGAGGAGGACGAGGAGGCAGAGGGAGCCCTGGTCACAGATGGTCAGGATATCATTGGTGACCTTGACCAGGGCAGTTTCTGTGCTATGGGCAGCACGGAAACCTGACTGAAGGGGTTCGAAAAGTGAATGGGTGGAAAGGAAAGAGCGCAGTTGGGAGGCGACAACTCTTTCCAGGACCTTGGAGAGAAAGGGGAGGTTGGAGATGGGCCGGTAGCTTGATAGCTGCGACGCATCAAGGGAGGGTTTTTTCAGGGTGGGCGTGATGGTGGCAGTTTTTAAGGGAATGGGGACAGAGCCAGAGGAGAGGGACAGGTTGACGATGTCGGTGATATGTGGGGCAAGAAAGTGGAGCTGGGAGATAAGGAGTGGAGTGGGGATGGGGTCAAGGGAGCAGGTGGTTGGTTTCAGGGATAGGATGAGTTTGGTGACAGAGGGTGGGGAAACGGGTACAAAAGTGAGTAGGGGAGGATGGGTAGCAGTCGGAGTGTGGGAGTGAGGGGTGGGGGGTTGGTGGATGTTGGAGGGGAAGTGACCGCGGAGCGGATTCCCTTGATCTTGGATTCAAGGAAATCCAGCATCTCCTCGCAGTGAAGGTTGGAGGAGATGACCTGCGCGGGGTGGCGGGGGGGACGGAGGAGTCGGGTTGTGGTGGAAAACAGTAGCCTGGGGTTGTTCTTCGCCTCCAGGATTATCCTGGAGTAGAAGGACGACTTGGCCGAGGCTAGAGTGGAGCGGTAAATTTTGAGGAGGTCCAGCCAGATTTGTCGGTGGACCGTTAGGCCAGATTTGACACAGGTGCGTTCAGCAGCCCGCACCTGGCTTTCAGTGAGCGGAGGTGGGTGGTGTACCAGGGGGAGGAGCGGGAGTAGGAGACAGTGCGGGAAGTGATGGGGGCAAGAGTATCGAGTGTGGAGGAGAGGGTATTGTGGAGGAGGGAGAGAGGAGAAGAGGGGTCGGTGAGGGTTGAAGGCCAGAGGGAGAGGAGTTCAGAGGACTCCAAGGCATCGGTTAGGGATTGTGGGGGTAACTTCTTCCAAGGGCGGTAGAAGATGGTGGTGGGTCTGGTGGAGGTGGGGAGGGGGGTGGAGGTGGTGAAGGAGATGAAGTGGTGGTCAGAGATGGCCTTGTCGGTAATAGTGACATCCGAGACACTGAGGCCCCGGGTGATCACCAAATCGAGTGGGTGGCCGTGACTGTGAGTGGGGGAGTTTATGTGTAGGGAGAGGTTGAGTGAGGAGAGCAGGGAAGAGAAGTCTGTGGAGATGGAGCAGGAGGGGGTGAAGTGTAGGTTAAAGTCGCCCAGGATGATGAGGCGATCAGAGCAGAGGCAAAGAGATGTGAGGAGTGTTGAAATGTCAGAGATGAAGGTGGGAGAGGTTTTAGGGGGCCGGTAGAGGAGGAGGATTTTAAAGGAGAGGAATGAGGGGTGGGAGAGGGTGAGGTGCTCAAAGGAGGGGAAAGAGCCAGTGGAGTAGGGGATAGGGCAAGTGGTGTCCTTGAGATAAGGGCAACACCACCGCCACGGCGGTTGGGGCGGGGGATGTGGTGGGAGGTGTAGCCGGGTGGTGTGGCCTCCGTGAGGGGGAAGGTGTCGCCTGGGGTGAGCCAGGTTTCTGTTAAGGCCATGATATCAACGTTCTCATCAAGGATGAGATCGTTGATGACCAGGGCCTTGTTGCAGAGGGAGCGGACATTTTGCAGTCCGATGTGGAGGGAGCGGTTGACAGAAGGGTGTGTGGGAGGGGAGGGGGGTCCAGGTTGTGAGGCAGGGGTGGGGGAATGGGGATGAGGGAGGAGAGGTTGGCTCCCCGGGTCTGTGTCCGGGGTGGCTGGCGAGTGTGGTGGGGAATGGGGCAGTCGGTGTGGCTGCTGCTGGACAGCCAACGCCGAGTGCCACGGTGAGCCCGGCGGAGGATTCCCAGGCTGGAACAGAGGGAGGTTGTGGGAGGGTCAAGTGGGGATAGAAGACGAGAGGGACGGAGAGAGAGGAGGACAGAGCGGGAGAGATGCAGAGGGGGAGGGTTTGGGGGAGAGAGGAGGGGGGAGGAGGGAGGGGGTGAGGGGATTCGGGTCAAAGCGGCAGCCATAGTGCGCACGCGGGGACCGGGAGCGAGCGGTCAGGTGGATGGCATTATCCCGTAGATTGGGGCAGCGAACCCAACAGGACCATAGTGGGCTCTGATGTGAGCCCTGGGGGGGGGGGTGGGGGGCGCAGAGGGTTTTTTTTTTTGTTGCGCGCGCACGCACCTGAAAACTAATCTATGACGTCAGCGGTTCCCCCGCTCCGCCCCTACACCTCCCCCCCCCCCCCCCCGCTCAGCCCCCCCGAGCTGATCTCGCTCCGGCGTCGAGTTTAAATACCTGGGTAGGTAGGCCCAGGCTCCTCCCCGCGCTGTCCTGCCACCGCTCCCCGACTGGCTGATCTCGCTCCGGCGTCGAGTTTAAATACCTGGGTCAGTAGGCCCAGGCTCCTCCCCGCACTGTCCTGCCGCCACTACCCGACTCTAATCCGTGTGTTAAGTGGTATAGTAACTCCGAGCTTACGACCATCTTTTCCTCTTTTCGATCTGGTGATACTCTCTTTTCAGGGCATTAGCGGCAAAAGACGCATTTTGTGAGAGAATATTTCTTTAGTAAATATATCAAGCGCCACAAGTCCGGGAGTATTCAAGATGATTGATTTTGAGATAATTATTTTTATTTTCAAATTGTTTTATGTCTTGCTGCCTCCCAACATATCAAATCTCCTCTGACATTCTACCCACATGAAAGGCACTTTATCAATGTAAGTTGTTGTTGAGTGGTATTATACTGCAAAGCAGTCAGCTCACTCTTCTGACCTGACCATTGGTGATCAAATATTCAGCCACCATCAAACAATCAGCAAATCCCATTATTTCCTGTCTCCCCACTTTCTTCAAATTATCTGTTGTCATTGTCTTGACAATAAATAATTTGAAGAAAGCAACATCAAAACTTCCCTACTCCACGTCCCCCGCCCCAACCGCCCTACCATCGGTGGTCGGGCCTTCAGCCTCTCAGCCCCGAGGCTCTGGAACTCTATCCCCCAGTGTCTTCGCTGCTTCCTCCCTCTCCTCCTTCAAGGCCGGTCTCAAAACCTTTCTCTTTGACCGAGCCTTCAGCTCCCCTCTTGACTCTCTTCCCCCTCCTCGCTCCCTCCCTTCCCTCCCCTCACCCTGACCATTTCCCCCCTCCTCGCTCCCTCCCTTCCCTCCCCTCACCCTAACCATTTCCCCCCTCCTCGCTCCCTCCCTTCCCTCCCCTCACCCTGACTATTTCCCCCCTCCTCGCTCCCTCCCTTCCCTCCCCTCACCCTGACCATTTCCCCCCTCCTCGCTCCCTCCCTTCCCTCCCCTCACCCTGACCATTTCCCCCCTCCTCGCTCCCTCCCTTCCCTCCCCTGACCCTGACCATATCCCCCCTGCTCGTGTCATGACCCAACTGTGCAGCGCCTTGGGACGTCCTCCTGACGTGAAAGGCGCTTTATAAATGGAATCTTGTTGTTGTTGTTGTTGTTGTTGTTGTTGTTGCCCTCAATCATACCTGCAAACTGCTTTGAGACACTCATTCTTCTTGATATGTATCAAACAAGTTCCAACTATTGGTGTGTCTGATAGGGATAGATACAAATGACCAAAACCCAAAAGAATGTCTTTGAACCGAGAGATATCATTTTGCCTGCTCCATCATTATTTGGAGAGAGGAGATATTTTGAAGACGATGGTTAGGAATCTTCTCTTGCAGACAGGGAAGAATTCAGATGCCAGGAAATAACTGCATTGTCATCATGTAATTTGAAGATTCCAGAAGATCTATGAAGACAGAAGAACAAAAACATATGTTTTGATCGAACTAAGATTATATTCACACAGCAACCACTTTTATTTTGCAATTCTGTCAGTTTTTCCGTCTACCTGCACCGAAAATATAGTGACTGAGAAAGAGTGAACAGAAGAGGGAATAAAAGGTAGAGAAAACAAAGAGGAAACCTAGAAAAAATTATGAAAATAGAAAAAATAAATAATAGAAGAAAAGTATTTGGTAGAATCATAATTAAATCCATGCACCAAATAGATTCCACCATATGACTCCTGGAATGCAGGTACACATTACATTACACCTCACACTCCCTGATCTTATCTCTGTAACAACTAAAGCGGTAAGTTTGATTGCAGTCATCATCAAACTACAGACCATTGCTCATAGCAACAGAGACCAAGTTGTCTGAATCAATTTTGGCTCTGTGTCTTTTTAGTATGCAGATTTGAACTCCTCTCCATTTAGTTACTTCCACTTGGCTTTCGTGGAGCAGTAATTGCTCTACAGCCCAATCCAGAGAGGAGTATCTTTGTCAGATCGCTGATCCTCCGGGCTCCTAATACTGATAAAATCTATATAGTAACGGCGACAATATATAAGCTCTTCAGAACAGTTGTTCCTTAGATTAATCTGGTGATATTCTCTGCTCATGGATTCAGTTCCTGTGAGTCGATCTGGCAAAAAAATCACATTTGAAATAGATTCAAATTTCAGTTTCTTCCAATACAGCTGCAGATGGACTTTTCCATCAAATCAGAGACCCTGCAGTGAGTTGTTGGCCTGAGAAATAAGAATGTACCTTCTATGTAGTTATTTTGAGGGATTGTAGGATACAAAATTGTGGGTGGATTTTTTTCGGTTACAGGAAGATCTGTGGTTTGTGTTGAGATAGATGTTGGTTCACTGGTAATTGAAGATTCACGAAAATCTGTGGAGAAAGAAATTAAATATTTTATTGTTGCCCTGTCATTCCGTTTGGTGTATAACCCTCTATGTATCACATTCTCACATTTTGCATGAGTAAAATATGAACTGCCTCCCAGAAACAGGACAGTGATGGATAAACCATTGACATTTCCACCGGAAAACAGCCGATGAACCACGTTTCTTGTTATGACTCCACCATATACTCGGTTATTTCACTGAATTGCATACTTCATTATAGGTAATATATCTGATTTATTTTGTGAAGACAGGCTGTTGTAGTACAAAGCTATTGCTGGAAATGGGAGAGAACATAAAAGTAACAAAATAGAAAGAAAGAAGGAAGGAAGGAAGGAAAGAAAGAAAGAAAGAAAGAAAGAAAGAAAGAAAGAAAGAGAGAGAGAGAAAGAAAGAAAGAAAGAAAGAAAGAAAGGAAGGAAGGAAGGAAGGAAGGAAGGAAGGAAGGAAGGAAGGAAGGAAGGAAGGAAAGAAAGAAAGAAAATACGGAATGAATGAATGAATGAATGAATGAATGAATGAATGAATGAATGAATGAATGAATGAATGAGAATACAGGAAAGATAGAAACTCGTTCTATCTCGGCATCCAGTCTATCAACCTTGGATTGTATTCCCTTGAGTTTAGAAGGTTGAGGTGTAATTTGATTGAGGTATTTAAGATGATAAAGAGATTTGATAGGGTAGATATATAAACCCTATCTCCTCTGGTGGAGGAATCCAAAACGAGGTGGCATTGTCTTAAAATTAGAACCAGGCCATTTAAGAGTGAAATCAGGAAGCACATTTTCACTCAAAGGTGTAAAAATATGAAACTCTCTCCCCAAAATGCTTTGGATGCTGGGTCCATCCACACCTTCAAGGGTGAGATTGATAGATTTTTGGTATCAACGGATTTGTGCAAAAACGGGAAATTGGAATTGTCAGGATTAGTTGAGGTATCCATGATCTACTTAAATGCTGAACCAGGCTCGAAGTGCTGAATGGCTTACTCCTGTTCCTATGTTCGTATGATCCTATGTTCGTAACTATCAGAATTATTTATTTTTGACTTCTCTTCTCGGATTTCAATTCCAAAAGTATTTCAGTTGAGTGGAATAAATGATTTGGAATCCAGCCTCTGAGAATCAAGATTGAATATTCAGCTCGATTGGAAGAGTTTGCAATGGGATAGGCAGACTAGTTTATCAATTGAACATGACTCTTGGATGGGAAAGGTCCATAAAGCTGAATATCCAACTTCCTACTCTTAGCACATGTACTGGTATGTTTTATTGCAGTTGTCATCAAACCACGGTCCATTGATCACTGCCACACAGGTTGCGGACTTAAGGTAATCATTTGACTCCATATATTTCCAGTGTGTATCATTCACCTCTTCTCGATTTGCCCCCGTCCATGCGGCAGTGGAACCATTTTTACTGAGCAGCCCAATCCAGAGAATATGATCTCTGACAATCAGCTGAGATGGGCGATTGGTCTCTGTGGACTCGGGATACTGACCAGATCCGTGTAGTGACAAGTCAACTCGAATTAAATCTTTTAGAAATAAATGGTCTTGAGGGTTAAGATGTGGAATTTCGGCCTTAGTTTGTTATTTTATTGATGGATGTTTACGACCACCAGCAGGAGGAAACATTGCCTTCACTACCTATAAAACGGGTCTCAGAAACAAGACTGATTGAGCTAGCAGATCTCTGGCTAAATCTATCATCGTAGATTTTTAACTCACATTCCCAGCGCTGTTTTGAAACACATCACTGGGAAATCAACTGAGACATTCACTGTCATGTTATAACCAAGTTCTGATGTGAGCAAATTATAATTTCCCCCCCCAAAAGTAACCCAAATCAAAGTGAAAGGAGACATTTTGGAAGTTCCTTGCACAATTCTGTTATAAGCAGTTGGTGTCTCAATATCAGGTCTTGTTCACACTCTCGCTGTCCACGCTTCAAGTGCAGAACTTGCTGCCTAGTGCAAATGAAGGTGTCAGCTGGGCTGAGCAGCAATGTAACAGGTGGTCACTTACAGATCTGGGAGAAAACCTCTTCCATCATGTACTACACACAAAGCACAGGAATATAGGAAAGGCTGGACAAAAAATAGACCAAGATAAATCTCGTCCACCTTCTACCACACCTGGTTGTCGCAAGCTACAATAATGGAGATGTTGATAGCAATTAATTCTGCATGGATCAGTCTACATCACAGTGTAAAGCTTTGGGAACCTCAGATCCAAAGTTGACTAGTTCTTTGAATAATACAACAATTTTAATGTCTCAAATTACTTATATATTGCAGAAACGTAGCACTGATAAAAAGCCACACCATTCTGGCTTGCGTGACTCAACTATGCGTTAGCCTGGTAAATAAGGATATCACCAACACCCCCATCTCCAAATACACTTCCAGTTACATCTGTTTTCTTTGGCTCCTTCAGATATATTTTCGTGTCATACCAGACACACACCAGCATTAACCCACTCACTGATTGCCTGTCACACCAGCATTAACGTACTAACTGACTTGCTGTCACACCAGACACATACCGGCATTAATACACTTACTGTCTGTCTATCACACCAGACACACAGCCTATGTACCTTCAGGAATTTGGTGTTCTGGAGAGTCAGCCTTGTCTGGATTTCTGTTATTCTTTGGTTAACAGAAGTAATTTGCTTGGAAATATGGCTCTTATTGTTTTCAACTTTTCCTAAGATGGCCTCCTCTTTCTGTTTGAGTTTGGTGATCAGGTCTCGCTGCTCCTCAGTCAGCAGCTGGTGACATTTAGCAAATACAGCATTGATGTTCTTCCTCAGATGCTCGGCTTGTCTCTGTCACAATAAACACAGTGTTAAGGTTACTCAACACAAGAACATGTAATGTAACCGTGGCCTTTCAGTCACGGTTACATTGCCCATGAATCTGGTGATATCCTCCTGAGGGGTGGGAATCGAGGTCTCCTGAACTGAACTGGCTCCAAGGTGACCTGCCTGGCAATGGAATGACAGCATTGAGCCAGGTCTCTGTGACGATCTCTTGTCCAGTTCCTGAGCGAGGCCGGTCCGCAGTATCCCAGGGCACTGCTGATAACAGCACAGCCCATCCTGGCTTATCGGCAGGATGTGGATAGGCAGACAAATCACTGTGGGCAGTGAGTAAACCTACTCATCCTCTGTTAACCCTGCAATATCAAGCCCTAACCTACGGGATGGTCCTGGCTGGAAACAGCGGGAAAGCTTGTCAGACAGCAATATCAATGGGTTTGGCTCAGAGCTGATATACACACCCCTCATTTCACTTCTAGTTGAGTAGCTCCTTCTTCTCTCTGACACTGGGACACTTCATCCAATTGTTTCTGAAGGATGTCCAGGGATTCCTGCAGCTTTTGCTGAAACAAAGTGAATGCAAAAAAACTGGAAGAAGGGCCAGAGTCATTATTACTGGTTTAGGATATTCCACTTGTGTGACAGAGCTGTAATATTCCATTCCACTCCATCAACACATCCAGATTCTGGGAACATTTATAATGCACAACCTTCTGACCCAGAGGCCCGCGAGATTGCTGCTCAGTGACCAGCTGTACCCAATATCATGTCTTTCCTAATATGTCACATAGCACATTGACAAAGCTTCATCTGCTAGACTAAACTTTAACTTTGTCATCGAACCAATCGTACATTTAAAACGCCTGGTTCAGTTGATCAGATCGTGGCCTTTGTGTCAGAAGGTTGTGGGACATTGGTATGTGCAAATAGGCTGCTGTTTTCACAGTGAGTTCACTTAGCAATACAAATTTAATCTTGGTGGTGTTGTTTAGGGTTGCACAATCCAGTTTAGAAGGTTGAGGGGTGTTCTGATTGAGCTGGTTAAAATAACAAATGATTTGAACAGAGTAGCTACAGAGACAGTATTTCTTCTGCTGATGGAATCCAGAAGAAGGGGCATTATATTATAATTAGAACTTGGCCTTCATAAGTGAAATCAGGCAGCATATTTTTCAACACAAATGGTTTTGTAAATCTGGATTTAATTCCCAAAATTCGGTGAATTAAAACTGAGGTGGATAGATTTTTGTTAGGTGAGTGTATCAAGGGATATGGGCAAATGTGATGATTTGCAGTTGAGGTAAAGATCATCATGATCTAATAGAATAGCAAAAAGGCTTGAAGGGCTGATTGGTCTCCTCGTGTGCCTATGTTCCTAGGTTTATAGTGTATTCTGAAGAACTTTGGGACGTCCTACCGATGCTATACATGGATCACTTTTCTATTGTACTGTGCTTATGGTCAACTCCCATTTCTCCCCGGCTCAATGTCTATCAATGCTATTGTTAAACATCCTGAGATGTGAAATTACTAATGGGCGGAATGTGCTAAACATCTGTGTTCCTTTTGTCTTTAGGTAACTGTCCCTTAAAACAGCAGGTGGTCTGTGAGCCCGCCCACACAGCCACGTCCTGGTTTGGGTAAAGGAGAAATTTGGTGGATTAAATCTGAGGTGGATAGATTTTTGTTCTGTGAGGGTATCAAGGGATCGGATAAAGTACTTGGCATTGTTTTGCAAGAGCCACAGCTTGAAGACCCCAACAACAACAACAACTTGCAATTATATAGTGCCCTACATGCAGGATAGCATCTCAGAGTGCTTAACAGAGGCAGAGCCTGACTCCGAGCGGGGGGAGGGGTGAGGTGGCCATAGTCAAACACAAAAGTCTTCAGGTGGGACTTGAAAGAGGGGAGAGAAGGGACAAGGCAAAGGGCTTGTGGGAGAGTGTTCCAGAGGTACATAGTGGCTGAAAGCACGACCTCCGATGGTGGGGCAGAGCGTGGTGCGAATGTTGAGCTGGAGTCCGAAGCTGGGTTATCCAGCTATGAAGCTGGGTTTCATAGATGTGCCAGGGACTCAATGGATTTGACACGAGAGTGAGGATCTTGAAGTCGATCTGTTCGATGATGGGCCAGAGCTGGTGAGATGTAGGTATGGAGTTTAGTCCAAGTCCAAATGTGGGCAGCAGATTTCTGAATGATCTCCATCTTGTGAATAGTGGAGCTGGGTAGAGTGGTGAGAAGTGGGTTGGAGTAATCCAGGCGGGAGGTGATAGCATGTTGGGTTAATTGCTGGAATCTAACCAGCTAAAACCAAACAACTTTCTATTGAAGACACTGTCCGGGAGGCTAAGGGTTAATAGTAATAATTATCCTTGCATTTGATATAGCACTCCCATGCAGCTCAGCTTCCCACAGCTCAGCTCACCTCAGCTCCCCTAAGCTCAGATCCCAGCAGCTTAGCTCCTCTCAGCTCAGCTCACCGCAGCTCAGCTCTCCTCAGCTCAGCTCCCATCAGATCAGCTCAGCTACACTCAGCTCACCTCACCGCAGCTCCTATCAGATCAGCTCAGCTCCCGTCAGCTCAGCTCCCCTCAGCTCAACTCGGCTCCCCTCAGCTCAGCTCCGCACAGTTCAGCTCCCCTCAATTCAGCTCCCCCTCAGCTCAGCTCCCCTCAGCTCAACTCAGCTCCCATCAGCTCAACTCAGCTCCCCTCAGCTCAGCTCCCCTCAGCTCAGCTCCCCTCAGCTCAACTCAGCTCAACTCACCTCCCCTCAGCTCCCCTCAGCTCAACTCCCCTCAGCTCACCTCAGCTCCGCACAGTTCAGCTCCCCTCAATTCAGCTCCCCCTCAGCTCAGCTCCCCTCAGCTCAGCTCCCCTCAGCTCAGTTCCCCTCACCTGAGCTCAGCTCCACTCACCTCAGCTCCCTTCAACTCAGCTCCCCTCAACTCAGCTTTGCTCCCCTCAGCTCAGCTCACCTCCCTCAGCTTGGCTCAGCTCCCTTCAGCTCAGCTCCCTTCAGCTCAGCTCCCCTCAGCTCAGTTCCCCTCAGCTCAGCTCCCCTCAGCTCAGCTCCCCTCTGCACAGCTCCCCGCAGCTCCCCTCAGCAGAGCTCCCCTGAGCTCAGCTCTCCTGAGCTCAGCTTAGTGTAGTTCAGAAGACCTATTACAACAGAGGTGAATGGCTTAGCATAAGGACTGGAAACCATAGATATAATAATTACAATCCTTGCATTTGATATACTATTTGATCACATTTTCAAGACGTCTCAAATCGCTTCACAGGTCATTCTGTAAAATGTATTTAATGACCATATCAGTGCAGTAATTGTAATAATAATCCTTACCTAATAATAATTATTGCTCCCGGGAAAGTGATCCACCGATCAACTAAGAAACTTGTTCCTACCTGCTGCTCGGTAAACAGATGTGTGTTGAGTAAGGAAACTTGCTCAATGTTTCGCCCTGCCTGGGAATCAAACCCAGGTCCTCTCGCTTGTGAGGCGAGTGCTCTAACCACTACGCTAAAATACTCCACAATAATACAATTCAACTTCATTATTTGAATCAATAGCAAGTGAAAGCAGGTAAGTCTAGTATTTAATGAACATCTTAAGAAAATAAAGAGTCACTAATGAACAGGGAGATTGAGAAGCAATCAGTTCCTCTTCCCTGAGACTGGGATCTTTCTGAAAGCTGCTCACTTGCTTTCATCCAGTAAAAATTGGACTCCATTAGGTTTCAATTTTAATCTTACTGAACAAGTGTCGCCATTTTCTATTTCCCTAAAAGTACAAATGATTTTAGATATGATGGTTCTTATGTTATTCCCTTCTTTTAAGGAGGGAAAGGTTGATGTCACTCAGGCTGATCCAACCTTCCTGAGTCAAAGTCCGGAGTCCAACCCACAGTTGGATTACATGAAAATATCCATAAAAGACAACATTATATATTGGCCTTGATAAGGTTTTGCTGACTGTCGCACAATGAGGGTCAAAGAACAGGAACATGAGAACAGAGCACTGAGCAAAGTGGATGTGCTGAATTGGGAAGGTTACTGAAATGTAACACAGGGAATGTTGAAGTGGGAGATGACAATATTACACTGGTGTTGGTCTGATGATGGATGGAAAGCCCAGTGACTGGGGAAGAGAAATATACCATAACAGGCTGAACAAGATGCTGACTGTAAGAGGAACTGTAAATGGTGAAGTGAATTGATTTTATTGGTCCAAAGTAGAGATTGTTAAAGGAGTGTCAGCACAATCTGCACATTGCAGGGCAATGTGCAACATGTGACTTCCTGGTTCAGTGGTAGGACTCTCCATAGTGTCAGAAGACTGTGGGTTTAACCCCAAGTCGGGACGTGAACTCATATGGTCTGAGCTAACATTCAAATGCTGTGCTAGGGGTGTGTTTCATTGTCAGAGGTGTAAAAAGAGGTGTAATTTTTTGAGGGGTTAGTGGAATGCCGTTAAATTCAGGAGTTTTAACCCTATTTACAGTTCAAAAATTTGGTGTACAACATAAAATCTGCATTATTAATATTGTGGAAGAAAGAAACAACAACAATTTTACATCGATGCAGTACATTTTAAATTAGGAGCATGGGAGTCACACAACTAACTGGGATCGCCTTGGTGAGTTAGTGGTGGTGGGGGAGGTGGAGATGAGAAGGAAAGCAGGACACTGAAACTGACTAAAAGTTCATTCAAACGGAAAGTTCTTCAGGTGGGTTTAAAGGTGGGTGAGAGGCCGAGCGACTCCAGGATAAAGTTCCAGAGCTGGGGAAGTGTGGCTCAAAGCTTGTCTACTGATGTTAGGGAGAGTCATGCATGGGACACAAAGTAAACCTATTCCAGAGAGGAGAGAGCAGTTGGGGAAGTAGGAGTGAAGAAGTTGGCAGAGATATAGAGGGTGAGCCGTGGAGAAATGTAAACAAGAGGATAAGGATCTGAATTTGATCTCTATGGGAAGTTTTCTGGACAGATCTTTTAAAGGCAAGCTACAGTTTTAGCTCGTTAAAATACAGCAATAATCCCCCACCCACAACTACACACTCTAAGGTCCGCAAAATTGTAAATGTGCTTATTACTTTCAGGGATAAGATTAAAAGGAGGCATCACTCTATGGATATTCCAATGCTCATCAATCTTTAAATTCCCTAAATATCTCCCAGATCAGCGCTGCAGTCAGTGTAACTCAGTCCAGGGTTTATATTCTCGATATATATGTCTCAGTTCTGGTAAAGCGAATGAGTGTTTAAAACAGAAAAGAACAATATCCTGAAAAAACAACATATGAGTTGGTTGCGTCTGATCATAGCTTCCATGAACTCTCCTTTACCTGACACATAATCAACAAGCACCTTGTTATTGTTTGACTATGGAGATTGTATCTCTCTCCTTATACTCTCCCCATCTTTTGAATTCCAGGCTCGCTTTGTGTGTGTACGAGTGGGGCATTCTCTGAATAGGTGCCCTTGCTCACCTCACACACATTACATTGCCTTAGTACCTGGCACCAACCTGTCTCATGATTCTGTCCATATTTCCTGCACCTTGCCTCCCATACCTCCTAGACAGCTTTAACCTTCCTTGGTACACAATCTATTTATCTATTTATCTCAGCTTTGCCCTGTACAATGATCTATTCACATTTCCATTTCAGATGATTTAGCCTATGCCCTTTAATTATCCTTGACATAGAGACATTATACACCCTGATCCAATCAAAGCAGAAGGTGCAGATCCACCCAGAGAACTGAAACCAGAGAGTACGAGGAACCCCATAAATATAGAAAGATTATCAATGGAATATCTACCCTTAACAAGTAAGAGGTTCACAAGCAAACAGTAATCATCAAATATGCAATCTCCCACCAGTGCCCTCTCTTTACAGTGCAGTCAGGGGTGAAACTGACTAGATGTTCTCAATGGCATTCATGCACGGAGTAAGAATAGATTCAGATCTCTTTCTGGAGCCTAATGCTCTGTCTGAGGCTGTTGTAAATTAGTGAGCTGCTGCCTTTGGCCACAGAGGCTGCTGGATGCGATCAGGTGGTGAAACATAACAGAAACGTATTGAAGATTTACATGGCTTTTTAAATAGTAAGATACAAGGTTTGAAAATCTATGATAATTAGAGAGTCGAGTTTGTGGAACATAATTAAACTATCCTGTAAGCTGCTGATCTCTTGCTGACAGGAGGTTCAAATAGTACAAGTCATTAGTTGGAGTAGGAGTCTAGTATCTAGTTGTGAGGACCAACTTTAGGAAGGATGCCAAAGCCATAGAAATGGTGCAAAGCAAATTCACAAGGGAATACCACAAGGAACGACGAGGTAATGTTTCTGAGAAGAAGCTAGACAAAAACTGCTGTTTGTTATCACTGTGACACAGAGGAGACCTGGACGAGCTCCTCAATATATAAGATAGGTGGAAATACTTACTGGTCAGTAATTTTTTAATTTATTTTGCGTCCGATTAATTTTATCTTCAATGCGAAATGCGACTCTACTTGCGGTTTGACCTTGCAGTAAAATGTTGCTGGCTTCCAACTCCTCCCTCAACTTGGTGGTGACACACACACACACACAGAAGGGGCTGTAAAGACAGCAGAAGCAGAGATTGTGAGCAGTTAAGATCATCACCAAAGAAAACAAGAGCTAAGCAACACAAGTTTTACAATAAAGGCAACTGAAAAGTAATAGCACTCAACCTGTTGTGTAAAATGCAAAAACGATTACAATCTACTTGGAAAGGTATTGCTGGAATGTTGACAATTCACAACTATTGATGCTCTTAAACATGAGATAAAAAAGGTCAAACTGATCAGGAGAGATACACCGATTCAGCTAAACACTGTGACTCACTTTACCATCAGAGGGTAGAAGAGGCGACTGAAGAGTGTGCGGATGCTGTGGTCTTTGTCCTCCTGGAAGACAGGCTGTTAAGTATTGGATAATATAAGGTATGGTGACATTGGAAGCCTCCAACTTAGTTCCCGTTCATCATGTTACACTGTTCACACAGACAGAAGTAACGTGTTCACAATTCCAGATGCTGCACATGTCAGACAAGATGACATCGAACAGCATCAAACTGAAACCAATTCGATCATTTAGAATTTGGAAATTGATTGCATTTTTAATATTAATCCTTGCATTTGGTACAGCACCTTGCCATGTATTGGAGACGTCTCATAGTGTTTCACGATATTTTCTGTTTGCATGCAAATTTGTCTTCAAAGCTATATTAAAATGCACAGATCATAAATATATTTTATATATAATACGTATAATATGTGTCCTGGATAACCACATGTGTAGGAAGTGTCTCCAGAGTTTCTGAGCTTGGCTGGTGTCACTACATAGCATACATAAGGCTGAAGAGTTCGTGGATAGATGGATTCGTGGATGAAGTGTTCATAGAGTCAAATGCAAGGATTATAGAGTTCATACCTTGAATTTGAATGCTAATAAGATGTTAGTGATCTTAACCAGAATTATTACACCAAAATATAACATGTAACTCCATGTTGAATGCAAGAAATATATTCAGACATAGTCTGAGAATTGTAGAATAATGACCAGAGACAACTCGAGCAGAGAGCGCAGCAGAGCAAGAACATACCTTAGAGAGGACGGAACAGAGTGGGAATTCTGTGCAGGACTTGGGTGAGAGTGGAAATTCGGTGTAGAGGGAAAGAGAGTGCATGCGTGTGAGAGGGTGCGTGCTTGTGAGAGCGTGGGCGTGTGTGAGAGGGTGCGTGCTTGTGAGAGCGTGGGCGTATGCGAGAGGGTGTGTGTGAGAGCATGCACGTGTGAGAGTGTGTGCATGCATGTGAGAGCATGCGCACGTGTATGAGAGCGTGCGAGTGTGTGTGAGAGTGTGCGCGTGTGTGTGACAGCATGTGAGAACATGTGCAGGTGTGTGAGAGAGTGCATTTGTGTGTGTAGGAGCGTGCGCGCGTGTGAATTGCTTTCTCATGTCCTGTGTGATAAGGCTCCATATCAAATGGAAGGATAATTATTATCATTTCAGTGTACTATTGGAGTCTGCAATAAGCAAACCCAGGTTGTACAAACCAATGCCTGCACCTCCGGTAGGCAATTTGTGGCCTTTGCCATTTACTCAGGAGCTTTCACTCACTCTCATTTCTCTGCCTCTCTTGCATTCACACTCTTTCTCTCTCCCAGTCTTGCGCTCTCTGTCTCATTCTCTCACTGCTCAAAAGTCCATAGAGACTATAAATTCTAGACTGCAGGACTGAGCTCGGAGACTTATAAACAATATAATCCCTGGAATGACTCACGTTTATAGAAGTGGCAGAGATATGCAGACAGTGAGGCAAAGCGACTGAAAGCACGGCAGCCAACAGCAGAGTTGAGGGGCAGAGGCCTGTACAGGACAAGCAAAGTGAATAGGTGGAGGAGTGAGTGTGAGCAGGTCAAAATGCTCTCACAGTAGTAATACGTGTTACCCTTCCTTTTATGTCAATGAGCCAGCCTCAAATTCTACATGAGAACAGAGCACTCAGCACAGTGGATGTGCTGAATTGGGCAAGTTACTGAAATGTAACACCTGGAAAGTTGAAGTGGGAGGTAGCAATCGCAAACTGGTGTTGGTCTGATGATGGTTGGGAAGTCCAGTGATTTGGGGAAGAGAAATACTTACACCACAAACAGGCTTAACAAGATACTGATTGTAAGAGGAACTATAAAAGGTGAAATGAATGGTTATATTGCTCAAAAGTAGAGATTAATAAAGCAGTGTCAACACAATCTTCATGATGCAGGGCGAGGTGTGACATGTGACAGCCTGGCTCAGTGGTAGTCCTCTCCACTGTGTCAAAATGCTCTGGGTTCAAACCTAAGTCGGGAACTGAACTCATATAGACTAAGCTGAGATCCCAATGCAGTGCTTGTGGTTTGTTATGTTGTCAGAGGTGTAAAAAGAGTTGTAATTTTTGGGGGTTTTAGTAGAATGCCGTTACATTCACCATATTTATAGTTCAAATATTTCTGTGTATAAATAAAATCTGCGGTACTGATATTGTGGAAAAAAGCAACAAAAACAATTTTACATTGATTTTATGTTAGGAGCATGGGAGTCACACAACTAACTGGGATCCCTTGGGGAGTTGGGGTGTAGGGGAGGGGGAGATGAGTAAGATGGGGAAAAAAACTGAAACTGACTGAACGTTCAATCAAAACTGAAACTGATCTCTGTGGGAAGCTTTCTAGCCAGTTTGTTTATAGGCAACCAATAGCTTTAGCTAGTTAAAATACAGCAATAGCCCCACACCTACAACTGCACACTCTGAGGTCCCCAAACTTGAACTATTGCAAATTTGTGCTCATTACTTTCAGGGATAAGGTTGAAAGGAGGCATCACTCTATAGACACTCCATTCCGAACACAGAGATTTATACGACACAAAATGGAGAAGCTAAGGAGAAGGGGGAGAGGCAATGGACACTTTTGAACGTCATTATGCAACGGTCAGTAAAACATTATCAAGGACAAAATACAATTTTATCTTTTATGGATATTTACAGGTAATGTAACTGCAGGTTGGTCTCCGGACTTTGGCTCAGGAAGTTCGGATGAGTCTGAGTGATCTCATCCCTTTCCTCCTGAAAAGGAAGGAAAAACATAAGAACCATCTTATTTGAAATAGAGGAGAAAGAGAAAACGGCTGCATTCCGTCAGTGAGATTAAAATTTAAACATAATGGAGTCCAGTCTCCACAAGATGAAAGCAAGTGACCAGCATTCAGAAAGATCCCAGCTTCTCTTCACCATCTCCATATTCACACTCGACTGAACCCCCAAGGAGACTGAGTTTAAGGCAGTATTAATGAAGCTGGTGAGCTTCAGGCACGGAAATGTAGTTATCTGAGGTGACAACAAGAACAATAGCAGCAACAACAACCCAACAATATAGCGCCCTTCACGTTGGTAGTGTCTCGGGGCACTTAATATGTGGTTTGATTCTGAACTTAATTTTTTTCGTCAACCGAGTGTTTGACACACATGATTTGCTGAACAGTATCCAAACCACACTGTTGATTTTGTATATCCCACCTAAACATCGAAATCCCAGTGAGAGATTGTTGAAATGGAATGCGCACTCTCTCTCTCCCTGGAGGGACACATTCTGCTGACCTAATTCCAGAAAGTAACAGGCACAGGTTTGCAGGAGCCAAGGCTTGCAGAACCCAGAATGTGTCATTGGGGTAACTGCTGGAGTCTAACCAACTAAAACCACAAGACAGAAGGATTGAGACAATGGATGCCAAAAAGCACTACTCATAAATATGGCATACAATATAATAGTATACAGGCAGTTATGACAAAGCTTTAAAAGAACACTGGTTAGGCCTTAGAGCTAGAGTGCTGGGTTCAGTTCTGGGAACCACAATTTGGGAAGGATGCCAAGGCATTGGAGAGGTTGCAAAGGAGATTTACTAAGATGCTACCAGGATTGAGAGGCTTCACTTATAAGGAGAGGCAAGAGAAGCTATGATTATTCTCCTCTGGAGTAGAGAAGGTTAAGAGGAGACTTAATAGACGTTTTCAAAATAATGATGAGATTTGATAGGGTAAACAAGGAGAAACTTTCCACTAGCGGGTGGGACTGTAACCCGAGGGCACCGATTAAAGATAGTTCTTAAAAGAATCAGACGGGAGGTGAGGAGAAACTGTTTCACACAGTGAGTAGTTCGGTTCTGGAATGCATTGCCTGAAAGGATGGTGGAAGCCGATTTGATAACAACTTTTAAGAGAGAAGCAGATAGTAATGTGAGGAGGATACATTTGCAGGGCCCTGGACAGAGAGCGAGGGAGTGGGATCTATTTGGATAGCTATTTTCAAAGAGCTGGCACAGACACAATGGGACTAATGGCCTCCTTCTGTGCTATATAATTCTATGAAACTATGACTCTGGGATCCAGTTCTGGACCTGCACTGAGCACTTTATGGTCAGACCACACCTAGAGTATTTAGCACAGTTCTAGGGTCACACCTGGAGTTCTGAGTATATCCGATACCAGGAATAAAATGTGTGCCCAGATCCCGGATGTAGTGCTGAGGAGAATGACGAGGGAATACCCACTGTTAGAGGTGAGTTGTGAGGAGTAACCGTATAATATGGGATTCTTCATGTAGCATGAAAAGAAACATCTACTAACCTTGTAGAGTTAGATTCGATTCTAAATTGGTTTGAGAAAGTAAACGCATAACAATACTTTACGATATTTTGAGCTTAATTCTGGAGATTTGACTTAACTATTTTAGCATAATAGCTCAGCGTTCTGTTTACTTTTGTGACTGAAGGGAAATATTGGCAGTGAACCAAACACTTACATGTGACCTTCCATGTCAGAGAAGTTCCTCCTCTATCAAACTCATTCACCAACGGTACGCTGATATGTAGATGCATTTAAAGTTAGGGCAGAAGAGAAATCCTACAATAGTCCGGAAGCTGCTTGTTTCACTGCGGGGAGAGTGTCAGAGACATATCCCTGGGAACTACTGCAGTTTGCTTAACAAGGTAGGAAACACACGAAGGATTACTTCTCATCCTTTAGCTAACATCAAGTAAAACTTGTAACTCTTTCTACGCTTTCATCATCTCCTGCCTGGACTATTCCAATGCATGAGTGAGAGTGTGCATGCATGAGAGAGCGTGCGTGCATGTGAGAGCATGCGCGCGTGTGAGTGCATGCGCAGGTGAGAGGGTGTGCAGTTTGTGAGAGCATGTGCATGTTTGAGTGTGTGCCTATGAGAGCTTGCGCGTGTGTGTGAGTGTATACAAGCAAGTGAGTGCGTACAAGCTTGTGAAAGCATGTGAGCATGCAAGAGCATGCACATATGTGTGAGCATGCAGGGGTGAGAGTATGGATGCATGTGAGAGCATGTGCATGTGTATGAAAGCATGCGTCTGCGTGTGAGAGAATGTGAGTGAAGCGCTTTAAAATGTCTGATGTGATAAGGCTCTATATCAAATGGCACGATTATTATTATTATTATTATTACTACTATTATTAATTCAGTGTATTATTGGAGTCTGCAATAAGCAAAATCAGCCTATCTCAGGCTAGACCTGTAGCTTGGTGGTTAGAGCACTCGCCTGGCAAGCGAGAGACCTGGGTTCGATGTCCAGCAAGGTGAAACCTTGGGCAAGTTTCCTTACTCCACATGCCTGATAATAATCCCTCAAGAAAAAAATAATAATAGTTTGATCACTCAATCCTCGACTGTTTGTGGGACACTGCTGTGCACAATTGACTACCACTTTCCACTCACAAAATATGCAGTCGGTTCACTCTATGTGTATTCTGTGAAACACTCTGAAATTTCTAGAATCTGGGCAATTTGTGGCCTTAGTCATTTACTCAGGAGCTTTTGCATGCTGTCATTTCTCTCACTCTCTCACATTCACACTCTTTCTCTCTTTCATGTTCTCTATCTCATTCTCTCTCACTGCTCAGATGTCCATAGAGATTATAATTCCTAGCCTGAGCTACACCGACTACAGGACTGAGCTCAGAGTCTTATAAACAATATAATCCCTGGAATGAATCACTTTTATAGAAGGGGCAGAGATATGCAGACAGTGGGGCAAAGCAAATTAAAGCACGGCAGCGGACAGCAGAGTTGAGCGGCAAAAACCTGTTCAGCAGTCCCGAGCTGGCCAAGTAAAGTGAACGGGAAGAGGACTGGGTACGAGCAGTTCAGAATGCTAGGGGTGTGATGGAGTAAACCAGGCTATACCAGGCCCCAGCACACTATGGCAGCCATTCTGATAGTCACAAATTTCTGCTGGCCATTTTGAGGTCATTCTGAGGTAGTCAAATCTGTCCCAGTGTATCCGCATCTATCCATTAAACATCCCATAACAGTGAAAGGAATTTTTTAAGGCCAACAGTTTACCAGATGAAATAATCACTCACTTCATGGCTGCTTGTGGGATGTTACAGTGTGCGTATTGACTGCCACTTGTGCCTACATAATGCACACTCACTACACTTTGGAGAATATCCTGTAAAGCACTTTGAGATGCTCACTGGTGTGAAAGGAGATGTATCAAATAAGGGTTATGAATAAATGCTACTTATCTTTATATTTCGTATAGAGTTTTACACATGGACCCAAAATCCCAGCACCACACATGATAGTATGTAGATAAAGTATTGTGACTCAGTTTTGTGGGCAAATGTAGCAGCACGCCCACAGCAATGTCACAATGTGAATTGGTTGTCTCACATTCTGTTCTGCAAAGTTTAGGGTGCCTCATGATAGGAACCATCAAAACAATCAAAAGGTGTAGTGTGTCATTTTGCCAGTGATATGTGGCTTCAGTTACTAACAGAGATTTGAGAAGTAAGTGCACATTTGACAGGAGCTGAGAAGGTTACACCTTACACCGTACTCCTGCTCATCTCGTATTTGTGCTGCTCTCTCCAACTCACTGACTAAGTCAGGCTTGCTCCACATTCCAACAATACAACAACAACAAGATTTCATTTATAGAGCGCCTTTCACGTCAGGAGGACGTCCCAAGGCGCTGGACAGTTGGATCAGGACCCGAGCAGGAAGGAAATGGTCAGGGTGAGGGGAGGGAAGGGAGGGGGCGAGGATAGGGTAGAGAGTTGAGAGGGGAGCTGAAGGCCCGGTCAAAGAGAAAGATCTTGAGACCGGCCTTGAAGGAAGAAAGGGAGGAAGCGGCGAAGGCACTGGGGGCTGGAGTTCCAGAGCCTCGGGGCTGAGAGGCTGAAGGCCCGGCCACCGATGGTAGTGTGGTTGGGGCGGGGGATGTGGAGCAGACCGGAGCCAGAGGAACGGAGGGTATGGGCAGGTAAGTAAGTAATAATAATCCTTGCATTTGCTATAGAACCTTATTGTCTTTCAAAGCGCTTCACAAAATATACTGTAAAGTGAAAGGGCTGAATATTTTGTGGGCGAAACGCAGCAGCCAGTTGCGTGCAGCAGTGTTCCCCAAACCATAGCCATGCCTACAGTTCCTATACCTCAAACCTTGGGAGCTCCCTCCCAGTAGCAATACTTGTCACCCCTAAATCTTATTCTTTGAGCCAGCATCAATTGTACATTATTGCATCCTCCTCCCCACCTCAGCATCTTCATTTTGTGTCATCTAAACCTCTGTGTTCGGAACGGAATGTCCATAGAATGATGCCTCCATTAAGGCGAAGGGCAACCCCAGGCTCCTGTTCTCCACAACGAACTGGCTCCTCCACCCTCCCCGCCACACCTTGCAGATTCGTTCCTCTGACTCTCACTGCGAGAAAATGCTGGACTTCCTCGAGTCCAAAATCGAGGGAATCTGCTCAACTGCCACTGCCCACCCAACTTCCACCTCCTCCCTACCCCCACCCTACACTCCGACACCTTTGAACCTGTCAACCCCTCCTCTGTCTTCACCACCATATCCTCCATGAAGCCCACAACCTTCATTGACCCCATCCTCAACCCTCCCCTTTAAATCCCAGCTCCACTTCCTTGCCCCACTACTGACAGGGAGATGTCATCAACTTCTCCCTGTCATCTGGCATTGTTCCTTCCCCCACTCAAAACAGCCATTAACAACCCCAACTTGAAGAAACCTTCCATTGACCCATCACAGCTATCCAGCTACCGACCCATCTCAAACCTCCCTTTCCTGTTCACTCTTTCCTCTCCTCCCACTCCCTCCATGACCACTCCAATCGGGTTTCCATGCTGCCCATAGCACGGAAACTGCTCTGGTCAGGATCACAAATGACATACTGACCATGTGCGATCAGGGCTCCCTCTGTCTACCTTGTCCTCCTCGACCTCTCCGCTACCTTTGACACCGTGGAGCACTCAATGCTCCTCCACTGCCTCCCCTCCCACCTCAATCTTAAAGGTTCTGTCCTTGACTGGTTCAGGTCCTAACTTTCACACCCCCTCAACTTTGTCACAGCAAACGGCTTCTCCTCTAGCTCCCCGCACCGTCTCGTGCAGTGTTCCTCAGGGCTCTGTCCTCGGTTCCATCCTCTTCACCCTCTACATGCTCCCTCTTGGTGACATCATTCGCAGACATGGAGTAAATTTCCACATGTATGCGGATGACAACCAACTCTATCTCTTTGCCTCCACCGTCAACTCCAGGACTACTGGTGTCCTGACCGACTGCCTCTCCGACATCAAGTCCTGGACGAGGGACAACATTCTCCAACTCAACTTCAGCAAGACTGAGGCCCTGCTGATTAGCTTGTGCCATTGCCTCCGCACTTTGGGCGCTGGCAGCATCAGCCTCCATGGCTGCACACTCAACCTCACTAAGCCAGTCAGGACCCTGGGTGTGTTGTTTGACCCTGAACTGTGCTTTCTCCAACATATCCATGCCATGACCGGCACTGCCTACAACCACCATCGCAAAATTGCCTGACTCCACCACTGTCATCTCTCAGGCTGCTGAAACCCTCACCCACGCATTCATCACATCAAGGCTCGATGACGGAAACTCCCTCCTCATCAGCCTTCCCAACTCTTCCCTTCACAATCTGCTGATAATGCAAAACTCTGCAGCTCTGAGACCCCATCACTCCCACCCTTGCCCGACTCCACTGGCTCCCCATACGCCAGAGGATCGAGTTCAAGATCCTCGTCCTCACTTTGAAGGCCATCCATGGCCTTGTCCCTTCCAACCTCTCTGACGTGCTGACTCCCTACCAACCTGCTCGCTTCCTCCGTTCAGCGGGCTCCGGTCTGCTTCATGTCTCCTGCCCGACGTGCCCTACCATTGGTGGCCGAGCTTTCAGCCTCTCTTCGCTCCCAAACTCCGCCCCACGATCCCTTCACCTCGCTTTCCTCCTTGCCTCCTTCAAGGCCGGTCCCAAGACCCTTCTCTTCGATCGTGCCTTTCGTCGCCCTCCCACCTCTCTGCCTTCCCTCAACCCTACACCCCCCCCTCTCCCATGCCCGGGCTCCAACAACTGGCCGTTCAGCGCTTTGGGACGTTCTCCCAATGTGAAAGGTGCTCTATAAATGTAATTTTGTTGTTGTTGTTGTATCCCAGAAAGTAATAAGCACCAATATGCAATTGTTAGAGTGTAGGGATCTCACAGTCTAGGGCTATGGACGGGGGATTTAGCTAACTAGCTAAATCTGTAGCTTGCCTTTAAAAGGACAGTTTAGAAATCTTCCAAAGAGATCAAATTCAAATAATTGTCCTATTGTTTACATTTCTCCATGGCTTGCCCTCTATATCTCTGCCTCCATCTTCAATCCCACTTCCCCAAATTCTCTCTCCACTCTGGCATAGGTTTACTTTATGCATAACCCTCCCTAACATCAGTAGACCAGCTTTGAGCCACTCTTTCCCGGCTCTAGAACTTTATCCTGGAGTCGCTTGGTGTCTTCCCCACCTTTAAACCCACTGTCCGTTTGATTGAACTTTCAGTCAGTTTTAGTTTTCCCCTATCTTTCTCATTTCCCCCAATCCCCACCTCCATACTCACCAAGAGCTCCCAGTTCGTTGTGTGACTCCCACACTCCTAACATAAA